AACTGATACTCTCTTTCTGGCCAGACATATGGCAGCACTTCTGCTATAATTTTGTTTGTATTTAACAAAATAAAAATGCAGATATAAGTGTACACTTTGTTTTTGACTGCTAGTGAAAACAGTTTTCTTTACAAATAACTCTCACTTAACTAACACAGCAAATTGATTCAACACAGTCCTCTATATAAAGGATATGTTGAGGTTTGGTCAATTCAAAACCCTGTTGCACTTCCTGTACTAGGTATGCTTTAGAAAAGCTAAGCAAAATTATCTCCTTTTTGTCAAGTATTGATTATTATCCACCAGTGTTTTTAATTGTTTGTATTTTTAACATGCAACTTCTTCTTTTCTTGGTATTTTTAGCCTATTTCGTTAGTGATTTTTATCTCTGGGTCCTGCTATCTTTAGGGCTTCGTGGTGGCAGCCTGTCTGCTCACTGGGATCAGTTGGGTTTCTTGTGGGATTGTGTGCAGTAGTATTAGAGTGTGATCTCTGAATTAGGGTGAGCGGTCATTTTATTAGTGCTTCAGACTGTGCCACAACCTCTGTCTGTGCCCCGTGTTTCTTAAATGAATCCCTATAGGACCTATATGTGCGTATTGGACAGTTTTGACTGCAGTGCTTTTTCTGAATTTTAAGATTTTATTCAGTTTTAAAACCTGTCCTGTACCCAAATTGGGTAACAAAAATAACAGTTGAAATAAGGTATAAATTAACATTCGGCTTTAATTTTGTTGATACATGGCTCTTATAATTATTTAATTCATTAATTTAATATCAACACACTTTAAAGAACAGTAATTATGCACTGGAAGTTTTATCCTACCACATATGTAAACCCCTGTTAACGAAATCAATTTAGTTAGAAAAGGAAGAAACATAGAAGTGAACAGACAAAGAAGAAGTGATAGGGTCAACACATGATCCAGTCGTGTGTTGAAACCACAGGCGGAACAAATGTCAGTCCTTTTTTTTTTGTATTTTCTCTTTGTCACTGTAACCAGACTTTGCTTCCTTTGTTTATATAACTGTATTTATGCTCAACTTTCACAGTCAAATATATTCCACAACTCACATCTTTTTCTGAGAAAACAAAAGTCATATTTTTACGTATTATTTTATAAAGAAAACACGCCACTCTCCATATTAACTTATGTGAAAACATGTCTGCGTTTTTCTTCTGAATAAATTGACCGGAAGTTACTTTTTTTTTTTAGACGGAAGGAAGCGGCAGACAAGTTAGATGTAGTTCTTGGCGTGTTTCGTATAATATTAGTAATACTATTGTAATCTGCGTGACAGTTTCACTAAACTCTCTGACTTTATTCCTGTCAGGATTTTTTTCAGCCCGTCGGTGGGCTGCGTCGTTTCCTCTTGCTCCGTGTAACCGCGACGTGATGGAAAGTTAACGTTAGCACTCGGAAAAATAACGGACTAGCCAGTTAGCTATCACCAGCTGTCCTAACACACATGACTGGAGAAACTGATTAACTGGTTATGACTGTGACTGTACTTAGTTCTATTTTTCTTCCGGGGAAATTTTGTTTTCTCGGTTAACATACAGGTTTTTACCCCACCCCCACACCCACCATCATACGTGTTAACTTAGCAAGTGTGGCTAGCTGGGCTACCTGAAGGAAAACGCTGCTTTATGCGCGGAAGTGTTTGAACACCTATGGACTAGCTGTGTGCTGTCATAAAGCTGCTATGGTTGATAGGCTAAAGCTGGTGAGTAAACCACACCTTTAACAGGGAGTGACAAACACTTGTAATCATGCTCATAGTCAACACGTCTACAGCTCGAGACTGTAGTGAAACTTAGGTCCATGCTTCCTTTGCTCTCGTACGCAGCTGCTGCCAAGTTAAGTCTCTGCCCGTGAGGACATCCGGTCCACCATGAAGACCCTCGGACCCAGAATCTCATTTTATGCGGGCTTTGTGGTGGGAACTTTTACGCTGTACGTGTTTCTGCGGCAGCTTTGGTTTGAGAAGACTCTGCCAATGCATCAAGTCACCACCTTGGCTAGAATTCAGGACTACCAGCAACAGCTCGAGGAGGAAAAGAAAATGTGGAAGAAAGAAGGGTCTGCACTTTTCAACCTGGAGCACCCTCATCACATAGGTATCACAGCATGTGCCTCTTTAATGCCTTAATTAAACACCAATCTGTGTGTTTCAGACTTTGAATCTTCTGATAAAATGTCAGATTTTAATAATTTACGGTATTCAGCTTTGGACTTTGGTCAGCTACACTTACAGCATAAATGAAAACTTCCTTTTTAAATTTCACTTCTTCATTGTAGTCCCTTTTATACCATAGTAGTCTCACTTTCTGCTAGGCAAGTTTGTACATTATATGTATAGGTAGTGAAGCATAGAAAGCCATGAACTGCTTCAGTAGCTACAAATATAGGTAAAAACCTTTCAATGTTTTAAAGGGGTGAAATGTTTTGGCTTAAACCAGAACAATATTTTATCTTCAGGCCAAGTGAGGACGTGATTCTATTTATCTTCAGACTTTTAGGACATATGTTCTCAACAAGGAAAAGGGTTGAGTCCGGTTTATAAAACTTTATCTCTTGCACGTGACCACGAGCTACATAGTTATATCCTTGAAGATTGTACATATTCATTCACTTAGAGCACGGGTTCTGAGTCATCGTGTTGCCTTATTTAACTGAAATGTCTGCAGTAATCAGTTTTTTATTTTTCAATATTTTTTATTTTGATTAACAAAAATGTGCTCTGTGTTTGACGATTAACAGAGCCAAGTTACATTTGTTTTAGATTGCAGCTGTTTTTGTTTACTACAGCCTTAACTCTCTCAAGCCTTGTTTATAACAGCTAAGTAGCCTTTCCTGTTATACCTGAGTACTTTCTGTATGATATGAATCTATGTAAAACCCATGATGCAGTAATGTACTCAAAAGTGGGCTTTACGGGCAGCTGTGTGTTTACATTTCTAGGGACGTGCATGTCAGGACACAATCTAGGATTTCAAAGAGGTTTGTGGTTACAGTGTGCTTATGGCGTAGATTTAGCAAAGAAGTATAAATCCCTTATAAGCAATCAAGTTTGGAACATTACCAAGTGAGAACTGTGGACAAGAACAAACAAGAAATCAATAGTCATATAATCATGAGGATAAAGTGGAGATGGTTGACTACACCCTCAGGAAGCTCAGCAGTCGGCAGGTCTTGACCTGGAATCCACAAGGAAGAAGAAAGATGTGAAAGCTCAGGAACACGTAGCACAGGGAAATGCAAATGAGTGTATTAGCATACATTGAAGGGAAGAGTCCAGCTGTGTTAGTGAGAATTGGAAACTGATTTCTGTAATCCAGGACAGGGGAACAAAAACCTCTCATGTCTCTGTAATTTGTTTAAATCAGTAGATTTCTAGCAGACCGCTGATAAGTAGAACCATTTTAGTAACAGTTTCACTTAAGCTGTGAATAAAGGTGCTTATCACTGTACTGAGTCATGAGTATTAGTTACTAGAGGTTTTTGTTCTCCCTGGAAAAACAAAAGTGGATACACACAGAGTCACTCATAACAGTGAAATGAAATATTCAAAGCATCCATGACACCTATTAAAGAAGATCACAGATAAAACTGGAAAGATAGTTAAACAAAGTTTTTGAATCTTTCAGACGAGAGGGTTTGATCACCTTACACTGCTTATCAGACCAATCAACTGTATAACACTTTTATAAAATAATATAGGTGCATAAATGCTGAAATGGATTCTTTTACCCATTGGTAGGTGGTTGCTAGGCATTTCATAATATTCATGAATTTCATCTGGTTAATATGTGCAGTACCTGTGTACTATGCCAATTTTGGTTGCTCAACTCCTGATTATGTTGGAGGATCTCACAGGCAGACAGATTATGTATGCTATAATAAAATGTTGCAGGGGTCCGTACACTTCATGGGGTGTTGTAGTGCATGAAAGCATGTTATTACCTGATTGATCCCCACTTTTCCAGTAATCTGGTATCTTATGTATGTGCAAATATACCTTGAGTACTCAGATTTCATGTGAAATTAAGGTGAAGTAATTAATTACTAGTAACTTGCCCAAACTGTTTATCTAAATAGCTGTTGCACTGCACTGATCTGCACTGCTTTTTTGTGACAGAATTATTACGGTCGGATGTTACGACCCGGCTCAAAGCCGCAACATAAAAAAGGAGACGCATACCAGAGTGTAGGTGAACAGAGGTTTTGTCTTAAAATGGAATATCAGGTCGGCTAAAATGGCTGGTGCCACCAAGGCAAAGACAAGTGAGCTCCCCGGGAAGCTTGCCTCAGGTATGCTTTTATCCACACCTGACTAGGTGTGGCCAATTAGCACCAGCTGAACACACTGAGCAGATTAGAGGCTGCAGAGGGACGTAACACCAACCATAACTAGTCTCAGTATTTCCAAGTTGCCATCAGCAAATTAAATGTGAAATATTGTCTTTTTTTCTGCATTGAGTATTTGCAAACCTGGAAGCACAGTCACCAACAATAACATGTGAGCAAAACATCTTTCCATTAGTTTACCCTCCAGGACCATCAGTAGTTGTAGGAGGTTCCTGAAACAGTTGGACTTATCTTTGTTTCAGTCAGTGAAATGATAATAACGTCTCTGTGTCCTTACCAGGTGAGGATAGCCGCATGGCTGATGAATTGTACAAAAAGGTACGTATTCTTTGCTGGGTGATGACTGGACCCAAAAACCTGGAGACGAAGACTCGACATGTGAAGTACACTTGGAGTCGCCATTGCAATATTGTTGTCTTCATGAGCTCTGTGGATGACCCCGACTTCCCCACAGTGGGATTAGGTACAAAGGAGGGTCGGGATCAGCTGTACTGGAAAACAATTCGGGCCTACCATTATGCCTATGAGCATTATGCAGATGAGGCAGATTGGTTCCTCAAGGCAGATGACGACACCTACGTCATAGTGGACAACCTGCGCTGGATTCTTGCAAACCACACTCCTGAGGAGCCTATTTACTTCGGCAGACGATTCAAGCCCTACACTAAGCAGGGCTACATGAGTGGTGGTGCAGGCTACGTACTGAGCAGAGAGGCTTTGCGAAGATTTGTTGAAGGTTTTAAAAGCAAACAGTGTACTCATACTACCTCCGTAGAGGACCTGGCAATGGGGCAGTGCATGGAGAAAGTTGGGGTGCTGGCTGGAGACTCCAGAGACTCTTTTCATAGGGAGACATTTCACCCCTTTGTCCTTGAGCAGCACCTCACTGCCAAATTTCCAAAGAGCTTCTGGTATTGGAGCTACTGCTACTACCCCATCTCAGAGGCAAGTGTGGCAAACACCGTTGACATTGTGTTTACTCTTGACATCACTATTAAAGAGGTTTAAAGAAAGCTGAACACTATTAATATTTTAACTGAATTCTCACCTGCAAAATAAAATCCAATATTTGGATGCATTTCCACTTCACTCCATACTAGAACAATGTTTAAAGTGGACCTGTTATGCTTGTTGTTTTTTCTTTCTGGCATGCGTGCAAAGTGGTGGAAGCTAATATGGATTTTTAAATATTGAGGTTAGCATTATATGCTTAATCTCTATTAGCCAAATGCTGAAACTTTGGACTGCACTCTCTTGCTTGTGAGGTGCAGCCAGTCTGAATAAAGTGAGCTTACTGGAAGAGCAGCTAATATAAGAGAGTGGTTGAATTAATTCAAAATTTTGTATCTTGCAAAGCTACTCTAGTAGAGTCCAAGAATAAAATCCGTAAGGGTGCATAATAGGTCCAGTTTTAACATTATATGTTTAACCAGACTAGCATTCTTTAATCAGTCATTAACTACCACAGCCACACCTGGTTAAATCATAATCTGCATGAGCATCTTGAACATGATGCGTGTTACCAACATTGTCACTGTCAACTAGCATTTATACACATGGTGTTTAGACCCACAAAATGGTGATATCACAACAAGACTGTAGGCTGGGTACTGCAGTTTTGTTACAGCCCTACTGTTTAACCAAACTGATGGAATCTTGCATTTATTTCTGGATTTATCAATCATGAATAAATAGTCTGACGCAAGACAATTAGTCTTCTTTTGTACTCCACCCATTCACATTGACATTTTCTTTTGTTTACACAACAAACATGCTTCCATGTGTATTAATAACCATATCTTGTTTTTTTTCCTCCTTTTTTTCAGGGTCCTAACTGCTGCTCAGACATGTCAGTATCTTTCCATTACGTGGATGCTATAGGGATGTATTTAATGGAATATTACACTTATCACCTGCGTGCCTTCGGCTACAGACATCGCTATCAGCCTCCCACCCCACCTGGCTACAGTATAAATAAGTTTGAATCCTGGGATGCTGGGAAAAAAGACAAAAAGCTGGAACAAAAACTAGTCCATCCAGACCTATCCAGAACTGACAAGAGACAGAATGAAGATCCCCCTCCTGTAGATGGTAAAGATGGTCCTGCTGCTGCAGAGGGTAAATAACAGTAGGACTTTGTAGCAGTGTTGAGGGTACTGATCATTAGGATATGCGGTGGATTTGGGGTTTTGAGTGTTTGGGTATCCATTCTGATAGTCAAAGTGAAGTATAAAAACTTTGTCCACTTAGACTGCTAGTGAACTTTGACAGCAAGACTGGGTGTTTTCCATGCTAAAAGGTGACCTGTGGCTCTGTATGTCAGTTTTGTCAGGTGTTTTTACAGATTGTTCCATAACAGGACTCACCTTTCTGTTGTTCTGAAAACAAAGTAAACCAGTATTTCCAGTGCTTTTTTAAAAAAGTGACTTTTCTGTTCTTTCATTTCTTACCACAAAAGTCCCAGTAAAACTTGTTCTAACACTCTTTAAGGCTTGCTGGAGTTGTTAGGCTTCAGTTCACACTTATAGCTACATGTGCCTGAAACCTGGTTTATGTCAGATCATATTGTTGTTTACGAGAGTTTGATGCCTCCCAAACACTAGCGTTTAGGATTGTGCTTAAAAGCCTTTTCACATAAAATACAAGGGTAGCATCTCTTTACTTTTTATTTTTGGTTGTTTTGTGTTTTGACAAGTTCCTTCTTTGAAGACATGTTTTCAACCAAGACGTTCCATAAGTCTAAAAGGTTTACTTAAGTGAATTAGTTAGAGTTGACTAATAATATTTATGTACCCATTAGTTTGCATCTCTTGGTAAACCAGACATCAGAATTGGTGAAAAACTGCTGTTTTCCTAAAAAGTAAATAGGCTAATCAAAGTGGATCTCCTATTTTTCAAAGTAACAGTGGAAAAAAAAAAGGTTTTAAAAAAGTGATGAAAAGGTCAATCTTTTATTCTCTATCAAATGAAACATTTTGTCCCATGGATGGTTAAATAGCTATCTATATATATATATACTCTCAAAATCGGGCAAAATACATTTTTTTAATCACACATTCATCCTTAATTAAACAGTAACAGCTATTAAAAAATGATCTCAGTTGCCAGATTATTAGGTAGACAAGAGCTGAAACAGAATCCATCCTGAAGTTTTCTGTTTAATTAACATATCCAGGTGTGCAATGTTCAAACTACACATAAAACATGTGTCTGAAACTAGTGTAGAAAGAAGAATTTATTACATGTGTTCCTAGGTGTACCTAATAAACTGGCAACTGATTGTATTAATATTTGATATAACAGATATTATACGTTACTAAATGTATCTTAGGAAAATATTTTGATTGCATACTCCTCAATAGTGAGGTGACTGTTGTGCTTTAAAAGGAAATTCCAGCTATCTAAATTTCTACAATGCAGCCAAAGATTTCACACAAGACCACAGTGAAGGCTGATGAACCTGTTCAGCTGTTATATGTGATCGGGCTAATTGTGTGATGCTTGTGGGTCTTTTTCTTTCTTTCTTTCTTTCTTTTGTTAAAGAGGACTTTGTTTAGTCAGCAAAGACTTTCTGGGAAGTCAGTCGGATGAAGAACAAGTTAGTCAAACTTGTTTTTTCTTGTCTGGAATGAAAAACGATCTTAATCAACCCACCCACAGCACATTGTTACCTTTCTGTGTAACGTGCTGCACACAGTTTTCTGCATCTTCCCACAGTGGAGTCATTAGCTTGTGCCTTGTAAATTGAGATTGTATGAGCCAGCCATTAGCTGCACACTTGACTTAGCACTGTGACATGAGCGTGAAGAGAGTGTTGATTCAGATGGCTGTTTTATTTTACTGAATCCATCTGTTGTAATGTGTTTGAGCTTCATTCAAGTCAGCGAATGTCTTTTTTGTTTTTTTTTAAGTTAGAAGAAGGTGGTGTTATTTTGAAATTCTTTGCCAGTTAGGCCTCATTTGAAGTTGGCACACTTTGCACATGTAAAAAATAAAATAAAATTAATAACAGCTCTTTTGCTAGTTTCTAACCAGACATTAAACCTGTGGTAGATGCAGTAATCACCAAAGGTGAGATTAAATGTGGAAAGAAGAAGAAGGAATTTGGCACATATCTGCAGAGTGACTAAAGGTTTTCATGGAACGGTGGCCATTTTTTTTCTTTTTCTTTTTATGACCACATTTTCTTCAAGGTTAAAAATGTATGAGGTTGATATTTTCAAATATAACTTTGTGTTTACACTTGGTTTCTGTAGTATGTGCACGAACACATGCATGTTCACCAGAGCATGTTTTAAAAAAATGTTTTTTTCTTCTCATCTTTCTTTTGGCTGCTCATGCTCACATTTGATATCAGCCGCATCATTTCTAATGGGGCAGTCCTTGACAATCTTCTCATTTCAGAGTTTTCTTAAAGGGAATGGTGTACAGTGCTATATTTATATTTGGAACGTATTTATGTTGGAATTGAAATCTTAATTGAGTCAATACACTTCAGTGTGGATATGAGTTCATTTTAATGTGTGAGCACACATTCTATAATCAGTGTGCAGGATTGTTTTTAGTGAAATGGTAATTTAATCACTATAAATAAAAGCATATTTTATTTTATATCTTGATTTTGTTTACATGTATTTGCATAATGTCAGAGCATTTTTCTCATCACAGCAGAGGAACATTCATGCAGGGTTACTATGACTGTGAATAATATTTGATGGGCCGATGGATATTGTCCACAAGTACAGTAGCCCTGAGGGTTTACAGCGTGATGGAAAAGCCGAAGTTTCACCATGAGGGTTCATGATACAAGTATGTGTCATGTGTCCATTAAACAAAGCGTTCCATCCTGAGGGGAAAAAAAATCCAAAATGCAGTCAAAACATTTGCACAAAACTTACACATAACTTTCTTTCTTGCATTTCTTTTTTCTCAAGTGAGCAGGTTTCTTACCTAAGCCTTCCATCATCAGTGAAACGGCCTCCTCTTTTCTGCATACCTGTTTCCACCCAGACTAGTCATACCTGTTGCAAAGAAAAGTAAAGTCCCTTCAAGCTATCTACACTGATCAGGAAACACCGCTCATTGCTTCCTGGAACTAGATTTGTCACTTGCCATGGAATACCAGACTTGACAGATCCACCACCTTTTCACAATCTCAGCCTGAGCACTTGTGATAGGCGTGAAAAAATCAGGAGAGGCTGTAGAGAGTGTAATGCTGCCTCTTGATTGAGAGCGAGCAGTTGCTCCCAGCTCATCCATCAACAAGTGTGGATTACTGTTACTGTTTTAACACCTATGCCTAAACATGTTGTTTTTGGAGTCTAAACCTAACTAACAAGTGCTTCCGAAGGTGCTTAAAAGTGACCTGAGATTCAAGAAAATGCATCTAATTCATTTATCAGCACATCTTCCTTCTAGTAAGAACTGTTCTACTGATTCCAAAGGCACTCACTTGTTCTCCACCCCAACAGATCAGCAAGGCTGTGATCAGTGTCCCCTGCAAAAGAAAAATATTGCATTCAGTAAAGCACGATGATGAAAACTTATTTAACACCGAATTCAGCTGCTTTTTATGTTAAAACAACTACAGGTTAAATGAGTTTCATTCTTAGGAAAAGTTGAGCAAAAATTCTTGGCATACTGTTTGTCAGAGCAGCATTTCTCCGTCCCATCAGACCCAGAAAGCTGTCATAACCGATGTCATCCAATCCCTTCAAATCACGGTCTGATCCAGGCTTGGGGGACAGTGAAAACGAGTTAGCCTTTTGCTCAGTGTTGTTATTTTTTCAACTTCTTATTTAATATGTTTGCTGCAGTGGCTGCGAAGTTCTGCGTGGAAATGTGAGTGCATCTCATTTGACTTAGTCATACCTCTGTCAGTGGATTGTAGGCCTCTTCTTCACAACAACACCTCACAGTCAGTAAGATGAAGATACTCAATGCAACCAGTGAAAAATGTGTTCCCTCCATCACTTCACTGAACTGTGAATCACTGGATTAAAGGTAAAAAGAAAAACAAAAGACACATGAATCAGATGGGAGGCGTCTCCATGTATCTGTGGTTAAGGTGTTCTTTGTTCTCTGTTGAACTGTCCTCTACAACACTTAGCGATGTGTTTTGTAACTTCAGTTTACAATGATGCAGCAAAGCTGTTTGAGTATAGTTAAATACTGCTTCTTTAAGGCACCAGTTTATCTTAGTGGTACTCATCTGCCTTGTGCAGAACTGTGGCACTCATTTTCATATAGTTGTATGAATGATGCATAACAAATTATTGTTGACCCCAGAGTGTCTTAAAATATGAGTTTTTGAGTATTTGGTTTAAAGCATATCTATTTTTGCATTTGGCTCAAATATAAACATTTAATATCTAGCAGCCTAGGCCTATTGCTACATAACTTAGGATGGATTTAGGGTCACCTGATCCAGCCCTAACTATAAGATTTATCAAAAAGGAAAGTTTTAAGCCTAATCTTAAAAGCAGAGAGGGTGTCTGTATCCTGAATACAAATTGGGAGCTGGTTCCACAGAAGAGAGGCCTAAAAATGGAAGGCTCTGCCTTCAATTCTACTTCAGAACACTCTAGGAACCACAAGTAAGCCAGCAGTCTGAGAGTGAAGAGCTAGATTCAAAGTGACATGGTACTGTGAGGTCTTAATGAGGCCTGATTATTGAAGACGTTACATATAAGGAGAAGGATTAAAGATTCAATTCAGGACTTCACTGGGAACCAAGCATGAGAAGCTAGTATAGGAGAAATATGCTCTCCCTTTCTAGTCCCTATCAGTACTCTTGCTGCAGCATTTTGGATCCACTGAAGGATTTTCAGGGAGTTTTTAGACATCCTGATAATGATGAATTACAGTAGTCCAGTCTTGAAGTAACAAATGCAGGAACTAGTTTTTTCAGTGTCACTCTGGGACAGGATGTTGCCATCCAGAATAAGCATCTGGCTGGATGTCAGATTCTTATGGCTGAGTGCAACAACCTCAGTTTGATTTGAATTTAGAAGCAGGAAATCAGATATCATCCAGGTCTTTATGTCTTTTAAGACACTGATGCAGTTTAACTAACTGGTGTGTGTTATCTTGGTTCATGGATAGATAAAACGTGGTTTTAGATGCATAGCAAATATCTGCCCACTGATTAGCCTTAAATATTATGTCAGAGTCTCTAAAGGCCTAATACTGGTTTGGTAAAGCTTCAATTTGCTTCTGTGGCATCACCATCATTATATAAAGTCCATTAACTTTCGTGTGAATTATGTAATCTATTAATCTATTCTGCTGTCCATGACCACAGCCATTTCTTCATAAAATAATTCACTTGTTCCCTTTTATTGTGCTTCAAAGGAGGGACCGTAAATCTCGTGCTGTTAACGGCATGAAGAGCGCTATGCAGAAAACCAAAAGGTACACATTGAAACCTTGGCAATTTCAATGATGGGATCTGTGACTCTGTTCTGCTGATGGACAGTTCAAGACCAGAGACAGTTACAGAATGTGACTTTTTTGGGGTGGAGGGTCAGCAAATCAGTGCCACATTTATCTGTTAATGATACACTTGATGAAACATTTCTGTCCTGATTGGAGTGGTCTTTTCAACAGGGCCAAAGGGATCACTAACTAGTTTGATCACTATGAAAATGATGCCATGGCTTTGAAGGAAAACAGATCTAAAACCAGTTAAACAAATATGGAATATTTTGGACAGATATGACAGACAACGCCCTCATCAAAATACAAAATGATGAGCTCCCTGTCCAATAAAATTACACAGACCTAAAGTACTAGTTTTTACTAAAGCACACAACATACAAAGTGCTTTGCCATCAGTATTTAAAACTAAAGGTGAACTAAACCTCATAGCAGGTTGTTGATTTCATATTCTTTTTTCCTCTGTCTGTTGACTGTGATGCATTTTTTGACTGATTTTTTTAAATGTGTTGTGATTTGTGGGATTCAGGTATATCCCAGAAAAACAAGACATTCTTCCAGAATTTCATGAGCATTCCTCTTGAATTTTGTATGTTACAGCTGAAACACAAGCTTACAGTAAACTTTCTCTAGTGTGTTCATAACAGAATACAGAGTAAACACTACTGTTTCAGTGTTTCCTCTAACACCTTTTGAACTAATAACCACGTCAGCTGGATATGGACAATACACAACATTGTCTATTGTCTGCCTAGGCTCAGGGCAGACCAATGACTGGCTGGAGAGATCATATTTCTCAGATGGCTTGAGACTCTCTGCTCGAACTGCTGCCCACGCAACACAAACCCAGATAATTGTCTATTGTCAATCTCTGTCAAATATACGTCAAATACATGTCTATTAGCCAACATGAGCAGTTCCTATTTTATTATTTACATTTTTTTTCTCTCTTTTCAGAAGTCTGAGGAGGAGCTTAACCTTTGAAACATTATACTGTTGATAAAAACTTGAAAGGTGCTTAGTGACTGAGCAAACACCATGTAGATGAAGTATTGTGCCACACCTCTTAATCTTTGAATTCAGTTGTATTCAAAGACAAAAGTCAAATACGTAGCCACGCAGTCCACCTTTACAAATATTTATGAAGGAATGGGTGAGTGCCATTGTTAGCACTGGGTACTCCGGCTTCCTCCCGCAGTCCAGCGACATGGAATTACTGGTGTTAGGTTAACTGGTAATGCTTGTAGGTGTGAATGTGAGTGCAAATAGTTGTCTGGCTCTTTGTGTTAGCTCTTTGTGATAGTCTGTAGCCTATCCCAGCTGCAACCAAGTTGCGATGACGAGTCGCTGAGTCCTGAGGTGGAAAAAGGTGAGCTGAAAGGCTACAAACTTCTTTTGGCATCAACACAAAAACTGTGCTAGGAGCTTCATGGCATGGATTTCAATGTCTGCCCAGCTCCTGCAGCTGTGATGTGTAGGTATGCCATATTTTGTGCATATAGTATGACAATTATTTTCATTTGCTATCACTCCATTGCTTTTTACCTATACTTATATTTATCTATTCTCACCTCATCCCACCTCAACTGGCTGCTAGAAATAAGAATAATTAAGAAATAATATAGCAAGTTTTAAATAATCAGATAACTATAGTGCATCAAGTGATACATTTTGACCTAATTGCTTATGATTTAAGTCAAAATGGAATAAAATAGCCATGGAGTATTGTGTTATCACATAATCCCATAATATAATTTAATTCATGCAGTCAGCCATGTAAAGACTCGTGTAACAACCCAAAAGTGTAAAAAATCTTACCCTGAGCTGATCTTTTCCCTTCGCATCAGAGCAGCTCCATGTCACGTTGAAGCCAGTCTTTTAAGACAGCAGGATTTCTCTTTCTCAAATTTTATATAGCTTGAGTTAATTTTTAATCCGATTAGCACTCCACCCACCACCCAAAACTCTGTCCCACCCTTGCACATGTATACACATAATTTGTAGTAACTGCCTCATTAGATGTTCCTCATTGAAAAAATGATATTTCTTTCATTAAGACATAGAAAGAAACAGGCAAAAAATC